TCCTTCCTTCCTTCCTTCCTTCCTTCCTTCCTTCCTTCCTTCCTTCCTTCCTTCCTTCCTTCCTTCCTGTTAGAATGCAGTATTACAGGCTAACTCTGCCCACGTCAGGAGTTCGATCCTGACTGGCTCAAGGGTGACTCAGCCTTCCGTCCTTCCAAGGTGGGTAAAATGAGGACCCAGATTGCGGGGGGCAAAAAGGCTGCCTCTGTAAACCGCTTAGAGAGGGCTGGAAAGCACCGTGAAGCGGTATATAAGTCTAACGGCTACTGCTATTAGGAGATAATTAAAGTTGGGCATATTCTCACCTTATAGTCAATAGCTTTGCTGAGACGCCTTTGTGTAAAATGACAAAAAGCGCTTTAAAAATGATTTATCCTCCCTTTTCGCAGGCCTTAAAGACTGGCCCAGAATATTCAAATGGAGAAACAAAAACGAACGAAAAAAAATCTTTCCCTATTTCATCTAGACCTCTTTTTTTGCCTTTTCTTCATAATTCTCACCGCAACACTTACATCTTTAACACCTTGTGAACCCACCACATTTTCTTTTCCAAATGCATTTGTAAATACAAAATGCAGATTCTTATTTTCAGAGAACAACTTGCCAGCACTTTGGGGAAAGGGGGAGAAAAAAAAATAACTTTATTAGAATTGTCAAGTGTTCAAAATTATTGGGTTCTCAGGGGCTGTTTGTAATACTACTGAATATTGGATGGGGACTACCCAACTGATTCAAAAACTTTAATTTGGGAAATCAATCCATTTTGAATCAATTAGGAAAATCAATTAAATTAAAATGTTTGAAACAAAGTGGGCCAGTTGGATTTGAATCTCGGCATTCATTTGGATTTAAAAAAACACACACACACACCCCATAATTCCAAAGGTTTGAAATACAGTAAAATTTATTTGGAGGCATTTAAAAGCAACATTTCGATCCTCAAGGACAGTGTTTCTCAACCTTGGCAACTTGAAGATGTCCGGACTTCAACTCCCAGAATTCCCCAGCCAGCGAATGCTGGCTGGGGAATTCTGGGAGTTGAAGTCCAGACATCTTCAAGTTGCCAAGGTTGAGAAACACTGCTCTAGGAACATGATAACTGTCTTCTAATACTTGAGGGTCTAACACAGAAAGAGGGGATTATTCTCCAAAGCGCCTGAGGGCAGGACAAGAAATAATGGATGGAAGTTGGTTAAAGAGACATCAACCTAGAAGTTGGGAGAAATTTCCTGACAGTGAGGACAATTAATTAATGTAACAGCTTGCCTCCTGGAGTTGCGGCCGTTTCATCCATGGAGGTTTTCAAGAAGAGATTGGACAGCCACTTGACTGAAATGTTATAGGGCAGTGAACGGTGAATCTTTTCTGGACCGAGTGCACAAATGTGTGCACTTCCCCCCGCATGCCCCCCCGCATGCATGCGCTACACTCCTGCATGTGCAGTAAAGACTCAGCTGGCTGGCGGGAGGCACACGCCCATGCGCGGAGGAACTGGGGCAACAGCAAGGGTGAAATCCAGCAGGCTCTGACAGGTTCTGGAGAACCGGTAGCGGAAATTTGGAGTAGTTCGGAAGAACCGGCAAATACCACATCTGGCTGGCCCCAGGAGTGGGAAGGGAATGGGGATTTCGCAGTATCCTTCCCCTGCCACACCCACCAAGCCAGGCCCTCCTAGTAAAAAAAAATGTGAATTTCACCACTGGGCAACGGCTCACATGCTATCAGTAAGGGCACTGCATGGCACCTCTGGCACGAGTGCCACAGGTTCGCCATCACAGTTACAGGGTCTTCTGCTTGAGCGGAGGGTTGGCCTAGAAGACCTCCAGGGTCCCTTCCTGCCTTATGATTCTGTGTTCTGTGATCCAGGCTCGTGACATACATGGGATTTGATTTGGGAAGCTGGCTTGATTTTCATCGCCCTTGAGTCGAATTGCCAAAAAGGAACGTTTTAACCCTGCACGGCAAGCTTTTTTCCGCCCCTCCCTTCACCCCAGCGACTCTCCCCTTTCCTCCTTTGAGCTGCGTAAGCTCTTCAGATGTATTCAGTTTGCGCCTGAATATATCTGAGCAGAAACTCGAAGGGGCTTCTAAGCTCCCCCACTTGCTTAACTGCCCTCCGTGCGCTGCTCCAACTCCCCACCGCTGCGGGGAAGCACAAATTAGCAACGAAGTCCGTTTGAAATCCCTCTCTGCGGTGTCTTCCTCCACTCATCTTTGGGGGGGGGGGAGTTTGTTCCAAAAAAAGAACCAGCTGGCGTTAGATGTGCCTTCTTATTGAATCAAAGGCTCCCGAGGAGAGGGATGGGATTCTGTAGCCCAGCACTGAAAATCTATTGTTAGATCACCTATTGAATTCTCGGGCTGCGAGAGACGGTTCAATTTTGGCGGTCTGGACGCTGGGATCCTTTGAAGCGGCTTGTTTTGATTTCCCATTTCCGGATGGCTCCTAGCCCTGCCAATATTACCTCCGAACAAAATTGCTTTCAGCTCCAGGACGGACAAAGTCAATAATTAGAGGATGCTCAACAAATATAAAATGCTTAAAATATTTATCTAGGCAAAGGCAGTGAAAAAAAAAAAAGCATAAGAAAACCAGAGTAACCATTTGCCTTTTGGTGGGTTTCCCAATTGCCGATCTCCATGCGGCTGTGAGTCCTACCCTCCCTTGATTTAACTTACGGCAGTGCTGCAATACAGGAAGTCCTCGCTGTACTGACCAACCGAATTCAATGTGTAGTCCTCAATGGAACTGCATTTTCATGGAGGGAAGTATGCAGTGGAGTATCCCAAGGCTCTGTTTTAGGGCCAGTACTCTTCAACATCTTCATCAATGATTTGGATGAGGGAATAAATGGGGAACTCATCAAATTTGCAGATGACACCAAGCTGGCAGGGATAGTCAACATTCCAGAAGACAGGCTTAAGATACAGAAGGATCTTGACAAACTTGAACATTGGGCACTATCTAATAAAATGAAATTCAATGGTGAAAAGAGTAAGGTTCTACATTTAGGCAAGAAAACCCAAATGCACAGGTACAGTATAGGTGGTACCTTCCTCAATAGTAGTAACTGTGAGAGGGATCTTGGAATCCTAGTGGACAACCATTTAAATAGGATCCAGCCGTGTGCAGCAGCTGCCAAAAAAGCCAACACAGTTCTAGGCTGCATAAACAGAGGGATAGAATCAAAATCACGTGAAGTTGTTAATACCACTTTATAAGTCCTTGGTAATCCTGCATCCAGTTTTGGTTGCCACGATGTAAAAAAGATGTGGAGACTCCAGAAAGAGTGCAGAGAAGAGCGAAAAAGATGATTAGGGGACTGGAGACTAAAACATATGAAGAACGGTTGCAGGAACTGGGCATGTCTAGTTTAATGAAAAGAAGGACTAGGGGAGACATGATAGCAGTCTTCCAATAGCTCAGGGGTTGCTATAAAGAAGAGGGGTGTGGGGGGGGGGTTCAACCTGTTCTCCAAAGCACCTGAAGGCAGGACAAGAAGCAATGGGTGGAAACAAATCAAGGAGAGAAGCAATCTGGAATTAAGGAGAAATTTCCTGACAGTTAATCAGTGGAACAGAAGTTGCCTCCAGAAGTTGTGAATGCTCCAACACTGGAAGTTTTTAAGAAG